ATATATATATATATATATATATATATATATACATATATATATACATATATATATATATATATACATACACACATTAATAGCGGTACATACCTTTTTAAATGGATTTGGCTTTAAAAATGTTTAATAAAGTTCCGCTGGGCCTGACGAGCTAAAAGCTAGTTTGAATGGGTACAAGATCAAAAAATGCCTCTTTTCTATAGCGACGGCTAGGGACAGTTTGATTCGGCTCAACTCGGTTCAGCTCGGTAAATGTTCATTTCCATTACACTTCAGTACTGGTTTTAGTGGGCAGGTCCAGAATCCTTTGCTCTATAGCAGCTGGTGGTAGCCACCACCAAATATGTTAGAAGATGAAGGACCCTGAAAAAATACACAACAAAAATGGAGGATCTCGTAGCATTGTTGAACTTTCTGCTTTGTCTGTGGCTTTTTTTTTCCAAATGCCAAAGAGAAGAGACCCAGAAAAGTCTGCGGACAGCAAGGCAAAAGGCTCTGGAGAAGAACAGGAGAGTGTCGGAAACCATGTCAGCTAGACGACTTAGGACGGTAAGCTAATGCTAACCTGCTATAGTGGAAGCCAAGCGTAAATGTATGTACTGGTAAATGTTGATTAAATATGGTTTAGTAATGCATGCTGTGTGTGTGTGTTTCAGATGATTCTCCAGCAAAATAAGTTTAGCAGACCTACAGTCTGGGCACTTAACAGAGCCTGTCAGTGTTGGGATGTTATTTTTCCTGGTACCTTCTCTGTTTCCATGCCCTAAAGCCATCAATGTATCATTTCAGTATAGATGCTGACAATAAAGATGTATTAAAAAATATCTTGACTTTTACTATGACACTTATTGTTATTTACCAAACACTGTAGATGGATGAATGGATGGATGGATGAAATTATAATAATAAAAATGGCCTGAAGAGTTAAAATAATGTCATTTAAATTTAATGTTTTCAGGTCGAGTTAGCCCTCTTTTAAAGACTAACTAGTTGTTTTATTTTCTGAATAAAATAAA